AGAGAGCAAGCCAAGTCCACTATCCCCCCCTCTTTGTGTGATCTCTCTAAGCCTCTCACATAACCTCTTTCCCCTTTCTTAACAGGTTATGAGCCTTGAGCTCCCTGCCTATGCTTTATCTACACTCTACTATGTCTATGCTCTATACAGTTCTACACATCACATGCATGCACACAGCATACTATGATGCAGAACTCAACTCACCTGTCTGAGTATCCCAAACACGAATCAATATGCTGCAAACACACAATCTACCATACTACATACAACCCAGACATTATATGATTGTCATCTTAGTGATTATGATCATTGGCCTAGTAATAACGTAATTTATGCAGGCAATGTTGAAACTACAATGAGTATCACTTACTGCAACATTTAATTACTAAAATATTCTATAATATCACAGAGATCATGTTATAATAAATTAACTGATCATACTACAGACAAACGTTAAAAAGATTAATAAAGCAAACACTACTTCTGCTATTAACATTATAATAGTACAAATGATTGACACTGTCAACAAACAAACATACTATGTTATAGCATAAATCAAATTATAACACATATAGTAATATCATGGCCGAACGATTAATGCTCAAAAACAAGCACATATATGCTAAACAGCATATTAAATCGAATAAATAAAACATTTAACATACATTATAAACAATAATACAATTGCAGACACTATCATAACAATAATAATAACAATAATAATGATAATAATACAGATAGAACTAACAGAACGAATACAGAACAATATAATAACTAATGCATATTATGGTTGAGCAATTATATGTAACATATTGGATTCAGCAGTTACATGTCAGATATTGCAATTACTTATCAGATACTGAATATAATACACATATCTAAGATATACAGACAAGTATGGATATACAAAAGTATAATGAATAACTACAAACCAAAAAACAACACTATAGAGTGTATAAACTAACTATGCACAAAGAAATAATGTTATAACACATAAATACTGATTACAGCACAAGACAAGTGCAAAAATTATAATTATTAAACAAATGATACTACTTTACACATTAATACAATTGTGTAAATGTATACTAACAACGAATGAAAGAATTATATCTCTAATATACTTGAAACAATGTATCAATACAACTTAATTATGCAGAACGTGTTATCATGGCAGCTGATTATATAATAAATTTCGAAGTTGCAACAGCAACATCAACTGTACAGCATATATACCTTAATGAATGATTATTAAATTTACATTGTGACAATGTAACTCATAGGAGCAAAGTATTAAGCTGATAAGGCTATTACAATGAATAATACATATATTATTATTATGAACACATTATTATAATAATTACAATTGAAAACAATCATAATATAATATGATTAAATAAATTAATAAAATGTTTAAGCCATTATCTCAGACAGTATAATATAAAATAGGCAATAACAGATGTGAGCATACTTAATAGAACTCAGCACATTTACTAAAAACACTACATAAATAATAATTACAATGTTATTAAATGAATATTATACAAAAACAAACAAATTACCATATGTTTTCAACACAAAAACAAAATATTCATTCATAGTTACAAATGATAATTAATAAAAGATAACGAGTGCAAACAAAACTTGTATATTATACATAATGTGTACTTATCTACTATAATGAACAAAATACACATTATATAAGTTGACGAATGTTAACAGTAACAAAGATATAATAGTAATACCATTTAAATTACTCATTATAGAACATAACAAACGTTATACACTGCTTTAAAATACTAATAATTAGAAATCGAACCATGAAAGCAATTACAATTATTATATATAAATATTATATTATAACAATGATTAATAAATGTTAAAGAAATATCCAATTCTTTGAAGAAATACCTTCTTGAATTGAAGGGGAGAAAATGGATAATATGCACAAACAATTAATAACTAAATATAAACAACAGAATGGAAAGTATAACACTACAGACACTATGAAAAATAGAATAACAAAATTCACAGACTAAGTACTGACTAAGTAATAAAAGTTACAGACAGACATAATGGATCATAAAGGTAAATCATTTGGTACGAAGCAAAATTATGTTGATCAGAACTAAATAACAGAAGTCAATACAATGTGCAATTGAACTTCAACATTAAATAAATAATGATTCTACTATGAAACAAATGCTCATACTTAGCAAATAATATTAATACAATAATATAATTAACTTAACAGTGTTTAATACAAAAATAAATGATATACAGACAATTATCACATCATATAACAAAATAATTCATCAATTCAGACTATAGTTCATGGATAAAAGTGATGAATAATGAAAATAATACTTTGGAACATACATAAAACAATAAATAATATATCTATATGATAATACAAATATAATTGCAATATAATTTGCAACTACAACCAAACAATACACAGATAATAACTATATAAACAAGTATAGAGTGTATACATATAATTAAATAAAACTATTAAATTGATTCTTGTACAAACAATCAATTTGTCCTCACTGTGCAATTAATACAAGCGTGAACAGCATTATAATACTATGAAATACATTGGATAGATACTAATAAGTATATCTATACAATGATTCAAATAAAATAAACAAAACCAATATATAAAACGTTTTACCTAGCAAACCAATTAACAAATAAAACGTTGAACAAATACTACAATTGTGCATAGTACTAGATTAACTAAAGAATGCTAGGAGATGATTATATTAAACATAATCCAATATATTACTTATATACAGATTGTGTTACAATACAGTATTCTTTGCAAAAGAAAAAGCAAAGAACAATAGCCATAACATACACATATATATACACAATACTATGATTGCAACAATTCACAATAATATTGTTAATGATAAATAATACGAATGCACGTTAGTAATGATTTACAACAGATAACTATGTTGGCTATTAAAGAAACAATGCAACAAATTGCATAGTTACTCAGGATGCATTAGAAACAATCAATTAACAAACATAATGTTAATAAATTAATACATAACTATAAATGATAATGTAAAGCAAACAAACAAACAATACATTCATGATATAATACATATATGATGCACCTAGACACATAGCAAGATGCCTGCAGCCAGACATAACATCTATGTAACAAATATATGTTAGTATAAAACCTCATTAATCTCAGAATGAAGCAATCTGGCAAAAACAAATATTATTATTGATATTACAATATACAATCAATGTGAAGCTTCAATCCAAAGACATAAATCAGCTATTGCTGAATGCTTAACACATATACAAACGTAGACAAATGCAGGCAGCAATGATTAAAGAAGGATATCATTACAACATCAAATATACATTTTACTAGCATGATTCATTAGTTTCACAGCAAAGTAAAAGGAAATTACTAGAGTACTCAAACAAACTTAATAACAAACAATAGGACTGAATAACAAACAATAAAACAAAACAAGCAATTACATTTATGATTTAAATATGTGCATATATGTACCTACACATGCTGACAAGATTCTGCAGGTCTCTGAAGCATTTACAAATTATTTAATAACATTTACAAACAATCTATTGTAATAACAATGCTGTTATTGAACAATATATTATGAACAAACAAACTAATTAAATATACTTAATCAATATAACATCAGACAAACTTAACACAAAGTGGATGACATTTGGAACAGACAGTACACAGAACAGACAATGCATTACTACAATGCTAATAATATTATTATTAACTACATCAAGTTATAAA